TGACATAAAGACGAGTACACACACACACACACACACACACACACACACACACACACACACACACACACAGTACCCATAGAGAGAAATGTTTCTCTCTTCGTTGATCCACTACCACGAAAAATCCTGACGTGACATTACGTAACAGCTAGACGACAGGACTGCCGGTATTAGAGAACAGAAAAACTCCAGAGAACACCGTAATCTCCTCGCGTGATTATTAGTCATAATATTTAACTCTGGCTTAATGAGTAACTTGTGGCATAATTTTCTGTCTGGCACATTCACCTGTTCTCCACTAAACCTCCCGACTTGCCGTTGAGCCAGATGCTAGGGAGCGAAGCAGAATAATCATACCAGACCGTGCAGGGAATTAACCTGAAGATATGAAACGGGAAGGGAGGTTAGAGTTTAAGAGCTATGCGGAAAATCTCAGGATTAGTTCAAATTCTGGATCATTTTTAAGCAAAGGATTTATTTCACCCGTCTCATTTCTGTAAATAACCTGCAGAGGCAGAGCTGACGGATGGTAAATTATGAGCTGTTAAACAGAAACTGTGATACGCAGTGACGATCTCAGTGTGGATTTTCTGTCAGAAATAAATCAAATTTACACAAATGGTTTTGAGTTTAAGAGTTAATAAGTGAGATTTAATAAACAACGGAGTTCACGAACAAATTAATTTCAAGGCCTTTGACGTTTTTACCGGATAAACTGGAGAAAGCACCCCAGTCCTTTCTGAGCCATTAGATAAATTATTTAATATTTATCAAAAATCTGCAATAGTTTGTTTTTGCTGTTGAGGCACCAAGTTGAATATCTAATGAAATATGTGTATTTTCACCTGTTTAAAAGACAAGGTTAACCTGAATTAGATTCTGGTTTTCATTTGGCATGGAAAACCTTATCAGTGCCTCCACATTCTACACATTTCTCTTTGAAATGATGTAGGCAGTGAAACAAAGCCTTGATATTCTGAGATCCGAACAAAACGCTTTGTGTTCTCTGGCGCTTCGAAATTGAGGCCTTCAACGACTGTTGTTTCACACCCATTTTTTTCTCCTTCTGAAGATGAAGTGAGCACGCTTCATTCAGGCAGTTGGTGAAGGCCTTTTGTTTCAAAAATAAACTGTTACAGTGTTATACGTGCCAAAAAAAGGGGGGGTGCTGAGAACGATGGCAGAAAATCGAGTGATTGTTCAGACAAGAGTCTCTTTGGAGTGATTTGACTCATTTGCTGCAACAAAGTTATCACAGAAAAACTGGCATGATTTTTAAATGTTCTATCTTGTTAACAGTGAGACGACAGACTGTAGAAATTCTGCCGCCTGGGACCCAGCGTCCTCTCCCAGAACTTTGGTCAAAATGCTAAGAAACAAATCCAACAACAACTATAATGCAGACATCAATGACTCACAAATATCAGGTGCATTATGCATGGAGTACTGACCATACAGGTAAAGTGGCTGGGTGACTCATGACATCATAATGTGTTATAAATCCTAACTGCTGTTGGAATGAATGATCTACAGAAGTGCTCCTTCCTGCAGCGGGGGTGTACCAGTCTCTGACTGAAGGAGCTGCTCAGCACACCCACTGACTCGTGCAGAGGGTGATGTGGGTTGTTCATGATGGACGTCAGCTTAGCTAACATTCTCCTCCCGCCCAACACCACAGACTCCAGAGGGCATCCCAGTACAGAGGTAGACCTCTGCACCAGTTTGTCTTTCCTGCACCTGTTCCTGTCCGTACATCCGCTCCACCAACAGGCCACTGCATAGAAAAGGGCAGATGCTACCACAGAATCATTAAAAGTCCTTAACAGAGTCCTGCATACTCCGAAGGATCTCGGTCTCCTCAGCAGGTGGAGTCCTCTTTAGCCCTACAAGGCATCTGTATTTGTAGAGCAGTCCAGTTTATTGTTGAGGTGAACAACCAGGTACTTGTAAGAGTCCACTCTCTCAGTGTCTTTTCCCTGGATCTTCACCATTGTTGTAGGGAGTGACTTCCTCCTCCATCTCCTTCGTCTTGCTGGCGTCGATGTGAAGAGCATTGGTCTCACACCATCTGACAACATCACTGATACCCCCCTGTATTCCTGATCAATCCCATCTGATACACATCAAATGATGGCTGTCTCATCTGAGAACCCTTGTAGATGGCACTGGTCTGAATAATGACGGACATTGGAGGTGTACAGTCTGAACAGGAAGGGTGAGAGAACTGTGCCCTGCGGTGTCCCCATGCTGCAGATTACTACCTCAGACACACAGTCATGGATCCTCACATATTGTGGTCTGTTGGTTAGATAATTGATGATCCATGCAGTCAGCTGTTTGCTCACACCGGGTCCCTCCAATTCAAGTAATCTACACATAAACAAAACAATGTGCTGCCAGTTTTACCACTGCGTGTATTTATTAGTATAACTCCAGAAAAATTAAACTACAGCTTTCTAGAATAAATTCTCTTTTCCTGACTGGACCGATGCTGCAGTCGCTCGCTAGCACAGCTTGTGGTTTTGGCAGTATGAAGCAGGGCACGGAGGTTCTGCTGTCTCAGGATATATTGTTAAAATGTGTGGATGATTTTGTAGATCCAAGCTCTGAGCGAATAGCACTCACCAGCCCCTGTAGTCTGTGCATCAGAATTGCTCTAATCTATGCTTTGCAGATCTGCAGCTATGAAGTGTTGTCCTTCCAGCTCACTTCGGCTATGAAAATAGTCTTCTAACCCTGTTTCCTGCTTTAACCTCTGATGGAAAAGAGATGGTAAAACGTAAGGATTTGAAAATCCTAGATCTCAAAACTATCACTTAACATTGATGGACTCACCCATCTTGACTCGTGGCGGGCAAGTCTGTTGTTGGTTTAGCATCCGGGAAACAGCAGAAAATCTAGTAGAAGCTAACCTTTAGCATTTGCAGCTCCACCAGACTTCAGAACTCCTTCAGGCTTGTGGAGATAGAACTTCTATGCTGCGGAGCTAACAGAGTCTGTTCTAGAGTCACATTCCTGTTAGCCAGTCAGAGGCGATATGTCAAAATACCAGGAAATAAGACTCCAAATCCTGTCGTCTGAAGCTACGTTCTCCACCAGCTGACTTTTACTTCCTGAAACAAGTACATCTGAGTTTTTTTCCACCCGAGAACTACTTACAAGGCATTCATTTTTTACTGGAGATCACTGCAAATGTATTGATCATACGAGTGAACCACATCTTTAATTTACTGAAAATAAATAAATAATTAGTCATGCTGTGTGTCCTTAGGACATTTCGGGTAAATGACCGTAGGTTTAGATTTGACAGGGAGTCTGATATTTCCTCCAATCTTCTCCTATCGGAGCATCACTGAGGTGGCTGTGGTTTGAAACGATTTCAGTGTTACAGAATTTTGTTTTTAACCTTCCAGGAAATCTGAAGTTTGACCCAATCTTGCCTAGCAAATCTGTAAACAAGGTTCTCAGCCTTGGGCTCGTTTTTCTTTCATACACGGCTGTGAGATTTCACATGACTGGGGCAAACTTTTACAACTCAGTCCAAATGTCTTGAGTCATCGCTCATTTTTTACTTATTTCCTCCCAAGAGCCAGACTTTATTGAAAAGTCACACGATTACTGCATTTTCTTTTTGAAGGTTTTCTTTGGCTTTGGCTGCTTAGTATTTTTCTTCCTCATTTTTATTTCTGTAACCTAAACATTTTCAGAGAAATATGTTAACCCCTTTAAATCCTGACACACACACACACACACACACACACACACACACACACACACACACACACACACACACACACACACACACACACACACACACAGAGTGTGCTTGTTTTAGATCTTATTTAATTCTTTCATTATTATTCACAAGATGTAATGTGAGGAAATACACAATCACAAGAGCTGTCCTTAAGCCATAGTGCAATGAAAATTTTATATGCCTCTGCAATGACAATTAAAGAAATCTTGAATCATTAAAAAAAACAGAAATTTCTTTTATTTTCGTTCAATAGATTAAAAATATTGGAAAGATATTTATGAGCTCATGTAAATAAAACAATGCATTTTAAAATCATTTTACTAGCAATTTCAACAGTAATAAAAATATAACTGGCACTTATCATGCTCTGCACACTTTGATCATCCACAAGTTGACAGAAGTTAGAATTAGTCTTAATGGACTCGGCCACCTTGTCTTGTAACTGCAGAAAGACTTTTTTTTTTTTAAGCCAGGAGAGGACAGAGCATCTCCACAACGTGAAGGAACACATTTGGACTTGTGTTATTTGTGGAGATAAAACATCAGTTTTGCATTTTTTTACACAAGAAAAAAGAACAAACAAAGGCAGTGGAAGAGTCACGTTGCTGTTAGCCAATCAGATGCAAGATATACGCAAGGTTTGGTGCCTGGAAGCAAAGCATGTAGATTATGATTGGTTTAAATCTTTTGCACGTTGTGTGTCATCAGAATTGAATTACTGCTGGCACTTGCCATGTTGCAAAACAGCTATATTTGTATTTACTTTCATTCTCTAACTCAGTCAATAATAACATTCCATATATTTTTACGGAACAACGTAAGGTCATGACTGTTGAGCATCAATTTTGCATGGTTTTTCATCTTCTTGCCTGAATCTGAAAAAATTATTTTTTCGCAAAAATAGCTGAATATTGAAAATCAAGACTTGTGTCTTTAATTCCTGCAGTAGTATAATTTTTACAACGTGTCCAAAAAATAGCAGTCAGAAAAGCCTTGACCTAAATGATGAATGGCAGTTTTAAATGCATTTCAACTAAATCAAGCAGACATAGTCCATGCCAGCTCAGCAGTGGGGAGGAATCTATTCGTCATGTTTTGTCCACTCACATCACAGTCAACCATCACCATCCCTGTTTCTGTCTTTCTGTATCGTCTTTTTGTCTTGTGGTTGTGTAGCATGCTTCACATGTATGTCCTGTTTTCTCTTTCTCTCCCTTCCTTTTACTTCCTCTTCTCTTTGTGTTGGATGAGAAGGCAAGTCCTGTGGCGCCTGAGGATGATGGCAAGTTGTCGGTAGGTCTTGTCTGATTGACACTTTGCTGTCTGCTTCTGTGTGTGTCCCTGTTTCCGTGTAGATGTTATTAGTGTGTTTCTTCCAACCATACTGTGAACAAGACGTGCTATTTCAAACCCTCAGACTCCCTTTTGTGCAGAAAGTAGCACCGTCTGTTTTCTGAAGCCCTTTCAGTTGCTTTTGTACACAGCATGAAGAAAGAAAAAAAAGTCAAACGGGGAGTATGTGTCTAACAATCCAGAGCTTGTATAGTTCCAAGAATCTTTCATGCAGAAAGTAAAGAAAGCCAATAAAACCAGGCAGCAGAAGTTTTTTTTTCAGGTTTCATGCTGAGAGTCTACGAGACTTTATGCATGCCCTGTCAGTCTACATCTGATCCTTCTCCTCCAGCTCTCACCCATGTGGACTTGTGAATTAGTACCCGACACCTCTGGTGCCTATGCATCACCTGTGAGCATCCAAAGGCGGTCGCTTCCCAACGGCTATCATCTGCGACAGCACCTGGTTTTTCCACAGTTCTCGAGCCCAGCTTCAGCTGTTGGGGGATGACCTTGAAAGGAGCTCTTTTGGGAGAAGAAGCCAAATGTCAGTGTCTGTCTCGACCGATGAGGCTTATGTTTTTAAGAAGCCGTTGTACTTTGACGATGTTTTCACTGGGTTTCAGGTTCCGCTTAGGGGTTTAATAGAAAAGAGGATTAGTGAGAGATATTACCAAGGTCGTTGAGTATTCACTAGCAAATGTTGCAGTGACAGAGTCTGAGTGTCTACAACAGCGAAAAAAAAAGAAATGACTCTGAAGATCTTTCTTAAGGAAATAATCAAATTAAATGGTGACACTCAATTATTTCTTCCTCCTGTTCAAAAGTACAATAAATTGGTGACTTTAAAACACAATTTGAATGATGTGGCGAAAGCATAACATTTGTGTAAGTGCCCAACCCCGGTAGAGATGAATCCGACTCACACTTTACATTTTCTTCCCTAGGCCAGGCCTCGCCTTCAAAGGGGAGGTAGTTCAGCCTCCCTGCACAACAGCTTGATGAGAAACAGCATTTTCCAGCTGATGATTCACACGCTGGACCCTTTAAGTGAAGGTAAGACTATCGTAGCTACAGCACATTCATTTTCTATTTACTTAGAATATGTCATTGTTTTTTCCTTCTTTTTTCTCTTTTACCTTAAATGCCTTAAATAATTTAAAAATAGACTTAACAGAAATTATAGAACCCTGCAAAACAAGTGTGCTCACAGTTTTTAAAGAACAAAACAGGCACTTACTTTATCAATAGAATTAAGAAACACTCATGGATCCCCCGTGTCGGATGCTAAAACAGAGTTATCCCTTTTTAAATGGTCATCTAGATGAGCCAGGATGAGCTCGGTGCTCTTGCACAGCACAGCTGAGGTAGAAGATCATTTTCCTTTAATCCACGATGATGGCCTATTAGCTCAGCTGAAGAAAATGTAAAACAGCTGTGTCAGATCTCAGCGGAGAGGATGAAAATGTTAATTTGTTGTGGGAGGTGCTGTGTCATCTAATTCCTAGCCCACCCTGGGAAGGTGAAAGTCAATTATGAAAATTTCAAGTTTACATGGAGCAAATGGGCAAACAGGGATCTGCTTACTGATTTAGCATTGTCTTAGAAATAGGACATGTTGAACACTAACATCCCTTTTCAAAACTGCATCATTTCACTGAACTTTCTTTGATATTGTTTCCTAGAAACATACATTTAGAATAAGTCGTATGTTCGTAGAAAAACTTGTTCAGAAGCAATTTGAAAACAAAACAAGACAAAAAATGTATTCCAGGTAATCATATTAGCAGACGCATGCTGAGTAGTCAGAAGGCACTTAGGCTTTACTTCGAAGAGAAATTGCTTTCTTTGAAAGCCCAAACCTTGAATGAGTCAGAAATGATTAATAAGCAATGCCAACTCAAAAGTACACATCAATATGCATTTGTAGACTGAATTCAAGTCATCCTGTCTTTCTGCGTACTCATCCCTACATCATTTTTCATTACGTGTAAACTCATCGTGCTGAGAGAATGCATGTGTATGGCCACTCATCGTTACACAATACCATTTTATACCATTTATTGCACCTTGTGATTGCATTGTATCAGACTGAAACATATCGGAATACTTAATGTTATATCTAATAGTATTTTTTCATAGGACACTATATTATACTGTGCTTTGTGATATGATATCATGTAGTATTTTATCACATATAATATTTTATCATACAATTTCCGGTTGGCCTGTATTTGATAAGATTATGTGGTATTGTGTCGTGTCAAACCATATGGGCTGTTTCTCATTGTGCTAAATCAAGTTGTATTATATCATGTAATACTGGAATGTATCACATTGCACTGAATTGGGTATTTTGTATTCTATTACAATGCATTGCTTTTTATGTTAAACCTTTATTTATCTCATTGATATTGTAAAAATATTTTTTCATTGGGGACCTGTCCAAGAGAAACAATAGCAAATATTATTAGAACAGATAGAAAAGTCACGGTTAAACAGTCAACTCAAATAAAACATCATGTCCAGGGGTGCACATACCCTTTAGATTTTAGTTACACAAGTAAGTACCAGGTGTTGATACTTGGTCCTCAGAGAAACACCTCCCCACTCCCAGGGGAACACCAAGACTAATCCAAAAGTACAATATTAGAAAGATGCAAGGTGGGGTTTGCTGAGTTTGCCAAAACATGATGTTTGAGCTTTCGTGATGGCTGTAATTCCCACCTGGTGAAAGCAGAGTGTCAGGATTGAGCTTGTAATAAGCATGTGCTATCTTTATTTCTTGAGCTGTGCAAAGCAGTTGAGAAAATACGTATCAACAGTTGAACTAATTCGGACGTAAAAAAAAAGGGGCATAGCTGCAATGAAAATGTTATGCATGGATGATTTTTGCATACTGGTTATGTGCAGCTCCGATCATATATAGTACCATATTGGATTGAGTCGTTTTGTACTAAATCAGGTCACATTATGTCATATAAGACTATTTGAAGGCACATTGTACTGTATTTTATCATACTGTACTGTTATTTATTACCATACTGGATCATATTGCATCGAAATGTATTGTGCTAGATCTTACTTATTCATCATACAATATTCATACAATATTGGATTCTAGGTAACAATGAATGGACCCTTTATTAATGTTACTTAGTGCATTATTAATCATTGATAAACTATTAAATAAAGTATTAACGACTGCTTAACCATATTATGTGATGAACTACTAAGCAACCCCCCCTGGCCCTTTGTCCTGACGTTAACAATAATGTTAACAAGAGTTAACAATAATGGTAAAGTTAATAAAGGGACCCTTTGTTTATTAATGCTTAATACTGCTGGTGACTGTTCTCAGTTATCCAGGTCATGGTAATCCAAAGGGGTTCAGATGAAGGCAACTGCACTTCTTTGGCTTCTTGAAGACGTTTTGCTTCTCATCAAAGAAGCTTTGTCATCTAATCAACACAAGGACTACCTCACAATAGAGGCCAACGACTCATCAGGGGATAAGGAGGAGGTGTTTTCAGAGTGAGTTTCTGCTCGTTAAGCAACAATAGACAGCTACAGTTTATGAGCTTGACTCTTCCATTGTCAAAGAATTGTCAAAGTTCCTCGGATGAGAAGTGAAACGTCTTCAAGAAAAATAAGTCCAGTTTCCTACATTTGAACCCTTTTGAAATGCTTAATAACGCACTAAGTAACATTAATAAAGGGACCATTTGTTTACTAATGCTTAATAATGCACTAAGTAACATTAATAAAGGGACACTTATTGTAAAGTGTTACCAGCTTTTACCTTAATGTATGTGTTGTTTTATAGTGTATTGTACATCGGGTATTAAACATGTTTGGTAACGTTTTATTGTTCAGATTGTACTCTATTTGCCGTATTGGGTTGAATTGTTTCACATCACATTGGATTTTATCAAACAGTAATTATCTTTATGGTATTGTACTAAATTTGTATTTTTTGCATTGCTTCATAGTGTGTTGTATGGCATTGTCATGTATCATATCACTTCATGTGTTATCATAGCTTGTCATGAAATTGACTTATACATAATTCACCCTTTCACTCTATTATCATTCCTATATCAAACATAAAATATTCAATGGTTATTCACTCTTTGAAATGTGCATTTAAGAGGTTTACAGTTTTTGGTTTTCAATCTTTGTAAAACCTCATGAAATTCATGTTCAAATCAAGTGTCTAAGCGCTGATGAATACTTGTAGACTTCAAGGTTGGAAAAGGCAAATTCCAGGGAAAAAAAGCAGAACAAATAGTACCAGATTTGACTGATGGCTGTTTTGGCAAAATAATGACTAGAAATGAATGCACTGAAACAACAAGTACAATGTGACATGATGTGAAGCCTGAATAAATTACTTGGGAGAACAAAGGCAACACCTAAGGCTTTTGATAATTTGAATGCATTATTTAGACATCTCCGTGTGGCAAATTGGAAAGATTTGTTGGTGAGCAAATGAAAGGGGTGTAAAGTACTTTTTAGCATTCACTCATTTGTTTGTTTAAAATGACTCAAGTATTGTAAGAGCCTGATAAATGGTTGAATGACACATGGTAGACTTCTCTAAGACGTTGGACTTTTTTTAAACAGATGTCTTTAGTTTAGAATGCAATAGCAAATCTGCAAAACTAGTAAACTTATAAACAAAAACACAGTCACAGAACACCCCCACCCCATCCCTAGGCCATGTCCGGTGATATCAGAACCTGCACCACCAGAGTAAACCAGAGAGAGCTAAACACTAGTTGCACTTTTCTAAGTCCAAACATCTTTTGTTTTCTGTGACTTCTAATGGTGCTTTTCTTTTTGGGACTCTGGTAGTTTGCGGTAGCAGCCGGCTGTTTCTCCTTCTCTGATATTAATAAGCAGCAAACCTCTCACACCTGTGGTGTTCTGTTAAGAAATACTCAAGTGTGTAATGAATGGAGGACCCACCGGATGATTCAGTCGTGGGTTTTGGACTAAGTCGTGTTATTAGCGGAGATTTTAGACAAATGCGAGGAAACCACTTTTTTCCTTTATTTTTCATTTTCTGCATTTTAATCCCCATACTATATTTATAGTCAAACCATGACACATGTTTTTAAGAGAAATGAAAAAAAAATGTTTAAAGCTAGCTGGTTTTGCAGATTTGCAATGGTAGCTTCAAATAACCATTTTCCTCCTAAACTCAAAGATAAGACAGAGAAAAAAATGATGCGTTCATTTAAAGATGGAGGCCATGTTGCTTGTCCTTGAATGCTCTTAGTCTTTAAGAGCAGTTCATTTAGATTGCAGCGAGCCAGCAGGACTCCAGCCATACATTTTTTATAGATATCTCTCAAAATAAGATGTTCATGCTGACAGAAATGCCGAGGATGTTTTGCCGGTGCTTCTAAGTGGTCTTCCTTTTCTTGTTAGACTTTAGAGTAGGGTTGGTTAGTTAGCAGTAGCGTGTTTGTCTGTATGTAGGTTTGTAAAGGTTTGCTTGCCCAGACTCATCACTTGTCACTCATGACTGCTCCCTTTTTCCTGCACCATCTGATCAGCTGTCTCTGATTGACCATACAAAATGAATATGACTTTTATGTGGCCAGGGATAATCAAAGTGTCACAGGTTCACATGGAGCAGTCACATGGGTTTTATGTTGGATTAATGACTGTAGAAATGGGAAAACCTGAGTTAGCTCACTTGAAATTGTGTCTCTGTGTTATTTACCACATTTTTGAAGGTTCATTTCTACATTAATCTTGTGATGTGCACATTTCTGGTTTGAATTCTTTATCTGTACATAAATGTTTTATGCTCAACAGGAGGAAATGGTACCAATCTTCAAATCTAACTCTACAAAACAGCATTTCCAAATACCATGTCATCTGTTTGGGTTTCCATAATTCTATTACTCTTTAAAGCTTCTGCTTTGAATACAGAATTCAGATATTTTGGATTGTGGGTTATGTGGAAAGATTATGGACCATTCTTATCTTACCTGTTGTTTGGAGGAACAGATTTTCTCTCACTGGATTGAGAAGATTATGGCAAATCCAAACATGACTAGTGGTTTATGTTAACAATTTTCATCTTTACGTATAGCTTATTTTTGTAGAAACCGGAAGTACTAAATCTAGCTGTTTTAGACACAGACATATGCGTATAGGCTCAATCCCAATACCCATACCACCTTGTGCCATTCAATTGCACGTTCTAGTCCAGAGGTGAGAGTGCGTAGGGCTTCTTAATCTTCAAGTGCAGAAGTTGATCATGCCCCTTTCGCACTTTGCTCAAGTTTGTATCGATGCAGACTTGGGCAAAGTGTATTATCCACAATCCATTGCTGCGTAGGAATTTTGAGAAGAAGGCGGAACAATGCCTCAAGTGCCTTTTTTGAAAACCTTCTAATGAAAGAAGTTCATTTTAAGATGATTAATGATATTTATTCATGCTCTGAGTGTTTTAGACTAAAGTTTAATGTGGACAGCAATGAATGTACGTTTTATCAACTGTTTGTTTGAAAAGTGTTGATGTAGATAAAAAAAGTAGCACAAACAGCGATCGGCATGCGTCATGGTCAATGATGCAATTATCACTGTCCCAATTTGGCAATTATTTGCACACTTGTGTACTACACACTTGAATCCTTACTGCACACTTCCTCCAAGTGCACTTCACAGAAGACCATAGGGCACATTACGAGTATTAGGATTGGGCCTAGACACCCCATGGACTGGTACTGCCTATTGGAGCAAGCATAGCAGCGGTCCGCCATCTTGGATGGGCCTCTATTTGACTTTCGACATTTATTATGCATTTTCACAAAGTCAGACATATGGTATGGCATGAAATCTGCATCTATGTATTCTATGGTTTTAGATAGCTTGCAAACATTCATGTAATTTTACATAAGTCAAAAAATTTAAATAATTCCCATTTAAATGAAATATTTTAGAATTGACTTTGAAGTAACTAAGTAGAACCAATCTCCGATTCTCCAAACTGAGGTAAGAGATCACTGTTCATCATGTTTCTATGGAACCCTGCTTCAGTAGATCTAAACTACCACCACAGAGCATATGTCTAAACAATGGTTTGATGTTCACTCTCACTGAAGTATCACCTGGATTTATCTTGTCTCTTGTTTCTGTTTCCTTCTTATTTCTTTCTTTTACTGTCCCGTCAGAATTTGCTGATTCTGGTGAGTTACTTTTCTGATTTCTGATGTCCCCACTTCCTCCCCGCCTCTTGTACCCCCCCCCCCCCCCCCCAAAAAATTCTGTTTTCATTTTAGCAGCTGGGACACAGCTCGTATCCAATGTCTTTTATATGTATACATTTCCTGAGCACCACTGTGCCGTATTTCCTGTTTGTACTGTCCATCCCTGCAGAGTCCCCATAAATATGTCATTTTGTGGATGCAAACCTCTTCGTGACCATTTCTGTATTGTTTTGCTCATTGTCCCAAATCTTCTCTCTCCTCTCCTGGTTGTAACTTTTCGCCGCTTTGCTCTGTGGGTGTTCCTGTTCTTGAGTCAACTTTTGTCAGGATGGATATCTATGCAGTAGTTACTGGAGGGAGATGGTGTTTCTTCTTTTAGCTTGGCATGTTTGTGCTTATTTCATGAACCAGTGCTTCTTTTTCTCTTTACATCGCCTTCGTCAGATCTTAGAGTCAATAGGAACTTGACAGAGTAATTAATCGAACGTTTGATTCTCCTTAGGTGGCTTTCTAGCTGTTCCACTAAACTCTTATTGACTCAGACATTCACCGTCTTACATTTCCTGTGTTTACTCAGCATGAACTCTATGAGGGTTCTTGTTAATGAAAATGTCTTTTAGAGACTAACTTTGGAGGAGCACCGGGACAGTTTACTTCACGCGGACAGACCAGCATCCCTTCTTCCATCAGTGTGAAACTCCAAACTCTCAGAAGGGCCATCAAATATTGAGCTGCAGAGTGAGACTGGAAGTAAACAGGAGTGGGATGATCTCACTCTGCTGTTAGAGACATCTCTAGAAACACACTCAGAACTCAGGTCGTGTTCATGCCTTTGGCTGGAAGCCTTCAGTCGGATTAATCTCCCTACTAACTCATACCCGAAGCTGGAGTTGACCTTGGTACAAAATATGATGGGCAGAGGTACCAACTTGGATACAATTATTGTTGGTTTTCTAAAGAGACAAATCCACAGTGGTCATGTAAAAAAAACTATGTAAACTGATATGAATATTTAAACATTTACAATCAACAAAAAAGCAAGGCCTTGCTTTTTAATTGTAGTTCAACAGAATCAAAAAACAAAAACTAATGAATTAGGCAGAGTCCAAAATTTGGAAAATGTTAAAACTAATTAGACCGTAGGGACATGTTAAACTAAAGTGCGTCCTGTAATTAGCCTCACAGCTGTCATTATCTCATAGTCAGTTCGTCTGCCTGTTTAGAGTGAATGTAGTCTGAATAGTGTTTCTATTATCAGAACGTCAGAGTAAATTTTGGGAGGGGGAATTGAGTAGGAGATACGATATCCTCTACTGTTGTGTCTCCATTCAAATTCAGTCCTTTCATGACTCTACACAGATGTCTGCATCTGCTTCGGCAGTGAGTGATGCCACTGATCACTACCAAAAAGTTTTATTCTGTTGAAGTACAGCAATTTAATCCATTCAAAGGATGAAGAGCTGCTGTGTGATGTAAAATGTGGTGTTCAATGACCAGAAGAACCGTTGTTTTTTACAGTGCTCTAAGAGAAAACAAAGCCTGGTGAATTGTGTTGTTGTAGGGGGAATTCTTCAGCGTTTTTCCATGTTGGGAGTTTAGTAATGGCAATTTTAAAGCAGCGTGAACACTGCTTATTTGCTTGTGCTTCCATTCTGCTTCACAAGCAACTCTTGGACGGTGTCTGCTACAACCAACCAGCGTGAGTTCACCAAAAGTTTGACATTATTCAGATGTTAGGGGCCCACTGGACTCTAGACAACCTCCCTGGACGTTGACACAAAAGGAAAATTAATGAGACGAATAATATAAATGATAAATAAAGAACTTAGAAAACTTAGAAAGAGAATAGTCAGCTCCAAGGTTGAGGCTCATCAGTGTCAGATTACAGCATCTAAACTAGACTTAATTGTAGGACACTGGGGAGGATTATTGTTGGATGCAAATTGTTAAAAACAGAGACTAGAATAAGCTTTTTCAAATCATTCTAGAGACAATTTTCTTTCTTTGATAGAAAGGGACCAACAATTTTATCCATGTTTGGATGTCATCTAATCAAAATGAGTGCATTTCTATGCGAATCTTGGACCAGTTTCCAATGTTTCTGTTCCAGCCCCTTCGTCTGAGCTGCATTTTAATGGTGGTTAAGAGTGTTTTGTTGCCTTTCTGCTGATCCCTATCCAGACAAGAAAGATCTCTCAGACTGCCGTTGTGACCTTGGACATCTTTGCTGATGTTGGATTGTTTTTTAACCCTCTCAGGTTCAAAATAAGTTTTGATTAAAGGACGAACAACTAAGTCCTTCAGGGGAACTTCTGAGTTAAAAAATGCTCATGAAATACATATGTGGAGTAACCAGGTAGGTAGGTTTTAACGTTGCAAATCTGCAACGCCTGCCTCCAGAGGGTTAATCAAGTGCAGGTCACACTGAAGTTGTCAGTGGATTGACCAGAGGCCAGCCAAGGTCGTCTGTAAAAATCATGATGCAGCCTTATTGACAGACGAACTGTTTACAGGGTAAGCTAGTGGGGCTAGAGAGGATGTCGCTGACAGTTTCACTGGAGGCTTAAATAAACAGGAATTTAAATGGCATGATAAAAAAGGAAAACAGTTACTTAAACAGATATGTGTGT